GACAAATTGTAATACTCAGGGTAAGCATAATTACTATTAATAACTGGCGTTTATGACATTCGTATACTATGTTCATTGGGCGGATATCCAGCGGGGAGGATGGGGATATACTCCCTCCCCCCACACACACACTTTGGGGGCGGGCGGGGGATTACCAGTATCATCACCCCCACACTTTTCCGTGGTCTACACCTCCGACTCTGCACTTGCCTGGCGTCATGATCTCACTGGAGATGGAGGATGTACATGTACTGAGCTTTGAGAATTCGTCCCCCCCCCACATGTGACAAGAAATCTCAGCCCGTGGTCATTGCAGTGTAGAAGCATCAACTGCTTATATACATGTAACTGCAATGGAATAACCGTATTGTTAGAGGAATTGGTTGATCATAATTATACACCACAGGGTTGGTTTAATGGTCGAGGAAGGAAATTATGGTCTTTCCTCCATGGGTAGATTGTATGCCGCAACAAGTTCTTAAACTATCGGTGCTGACACGATGCACCTGACTAAACTAAAGAGGGACATGTGAAAACGACATTCATGCAAAATTGTAATTAGCACAAGACTTGAGGGTACCATCAATTGTGCTCACACTGTCGTCTCACATTCTTACTACTAGAAACACATTTGCTTGCATAGTTTTTACAACTTATATCCTTTCGCACAGTGCATCTTGCATTAGCAACAAACGTTTGTGCCTCGTAATACGCACCAGCCGGTGCCTTATCAACCAATGGGCCACATTATGGGCTCTCGACCAATAGGAATAGCTAAGACGTTTTAGGTATCTATTAATAACACAAGACCCCTCCTTTTCGACTTCACAGTCGCAGTGTGGTAGTCGAGTATGTTGTTTTGTTTTATACCTGTAAATGGCGCTTTCTGCTACTCAGGCTACTTAAAACTATACGTTTAATCAGCGTCATATTGCGGAGTTAGGCAGAAGGTCCAGTTTTAGAGGCAGGACGAAATCGGAGCACCCGGAGAAAACCTGTGAGAGCGAGTATGGACTGGAAACCAAATGCGCTTAAAGTCTGGGCCCAGCCGGGACTCGAACCCGGGCCTCATTGGTGCAAAGCGAGGAAAGAACCGCTACGCTAACACACTAACCCGCTCCCCCGATAGTGGAGTACTTTGGGGGTATGCTATACTTTTGGTTGATTCGTTCAGTGTGAGCAAACCTGGATTCCAGATGCACTGGATGCTAAATGCACAAAAGACCACAAAAACGACAACTTTAAACTTATAGCAGGTGTGGAAACATTACATTTGGACAAAAGTACTCGAAAAGCACTGGGCCGAGAGGAGGATTTGCAAACTAGGGCCGCCCTTGCATGCGATATAACTGAAAAAGGTGATAAAACAAGAGTCCACAGTAACTATTGGATACGAGCAGGCAATGGTGGGGGTTGCAGATAAGCAAAATCTTAAGCCCTTGCACTTAACTTGGGCATCATCAGCGTCCATTCTTTGATCCGGTCCTTCTAACCGGCTAAGCACATTGCTCATTCTCTTATTAATGCGGACGCGCTGTTCATAAACATAATACATGTATTATATGCAACACGCTCGCGTTCTAGAACCCTGCGTAGTCCTCAATTAGTCACGTATGCACACACACTCCAGAAATGTACTAGGACAGTCGACTTTTTATTTCTATTGATTATAACGTGTGAAAGGAACATAAAGATCATTTATGTACTGTCGTAATGTTTGACTTCATGGCTTGGGCAAAAGTCAGAAATTATGTTTATTAGTCTTGAGCCAGGATGATGTTGTATTTTTTGGTAATTGTGCATATTAAACCGTAGCAGGACGCAATTTACAAGCAACCTAATTGTGGTCTCTGAGTTCTAACTGTCGAATAGAAATCCGAAGGGATCGATGCTTTGTGGTAGAATATTGATCCCTCAGAGAATCGAGGGCTTTGTGGAATCTATTAAATTTGGTGTCCGCAGAAACGGTTGAGGTTATACACATTGTTTTTCTTGGAGAAGAAGAGATGTGAAGTAAAAAAGCGGTCTTCAAACCAATTCGGGTCATGGTGCGCATCATTTTTTACAATCACCATATCACTTATGTTTAAGCTAGTTGCCTGACGTCATTAGGATTAAGCATAGATCTTATGCTGGTAGTGTTCCTCTTTGCCCTCGCAGTCTGGTGGTGCAGCCGTGATGGTTTGGATCCACGGGGGTGCGTTTGCCGTTGGGAGCGCCTCTGAGCCCAGCTACAACGGAATCCCACTGGTGGCTACAGGTGACGTCATCCTCGTCTCCATCAACTACCGCCTCGGCGTCTTTGGGTTCCTTAGTACAGGTAGACTCATAATTTACATGTATAACCTGCCGTGGAAATCGGCACAGTTTTTCATCACACTGTACGTGCAAGTGTCCATCTTGTGTCCACCCCACCCTCGCGACTTCAGGTTATGGGCTGGTACTTTAACTGTACTTTGCAAAGACCTAACGCGCAGCAGATGGAAAGTTTCGGTACTCCGTGCCAAAAGTCTTTCCACAAATCGCTGGCGTCGTTAAAACAGACATGCAGCGTATCGGCCTGCAGCAGGAGCACCCCCTCATCGGTTGAAAAGAGCCGTGTTTATGGATACTGTTCATTTTGTTGGTACAGACGCGACCGTAACGCGTGCTGTTCATAGTTGTTTGCGAGCCAGCGAAGTTTAGTGCCCACCAAAGGAGCCTCCGTTGCTTGGAAAACTGCGCGTGCGCCCTCTTTTGGGACGGTGCAGCTTGGGGCTCATACCCACAGGCCCTTCACCGTCAGTCCTTTGCGCCATACCGGTAGTTGGGGTAAATTTTCCGTTCCTAATGGGCGCATAAAAGTTGTATCATTAAGCTGCTAAAACGTGCTTATTTTCGTGTTTATTCCTCTATTCTCAAACTTCAAAACTGATATCCCCTAGAAAGCGGTAATAATGTTATCAGACCGTCGGCCATGAAAATGTGTAAAATCGATAAAACCATGTACATAACTAAATCTGACAGTATTTAACCTGTATCAGGTAAACTTTTGTATGATTGATTGTCGTATCTAATATAGGTGACGACGCCTTGCCAGGAAATTTGGGCCTTTTGGACCAAGTTTTGGCCTTACAGTGGATCAAGCAGAACATAGCAGGTTAGACAAAATCTTGCGATTTGGATATTGTATGAAAGCTTTTCTTTATCTCGTATTTTGCTCTTTTTTTTTAGTAGAAATGTTCACTTTATCTTCCTTTCCAAAGCAACTTGAGTGGAAAGAAATGTGCAGCACATCAGAAGCGTTTTATGTACGAGGTCGTCTGTTTGATCATTTAACACGGAACGTGCAGTTGCAAAATTCATTAATTAAAAATAGAACGTTCAGGTAGACCTCATTACAGTAGATATTCTTCTTTCCATCACTGAGCATTGATTTCACCTTGACTGCCTCGTGTCTGGTATGCAAATTTATGGTAATGACTTTCAGACGCCTGGTGGCGGCAGACACAACGGTCTTTTGGTTGATGTGGGCATGCGCGGCGTGCAATTCTACGCATGTGCGTTAGTTCTGAGCACACGCAAAACCACGGAAAAGGACCCGTTTGTCTGCGTCACCATGCGCGACCATGCGTCTCAAAGTCTCCCATTTCTTTTATTTGTGATCAGTGATGCTTCTTTGCTAAAACACAGCCTTTGGCGGTGACACGGATCGTATCACGATCTTCGGCGAGAGCGCCGGATCAGCTAGCGTCAGTTGGCTGGTGCTGTCCCAGCTGACTGCCGGACTGTTCAACCGGGCAGTAATGCAGGTGAGAACGGAGGGAATGTGCTTGGGGTAGGTGACAAGAACGATTGTGCTTACTACCAACAGATCTTCATGCTTGCTGATCGGCCGGCTGACCGACCGACCACACCCTCTACCGGCAAATCGACCGGCTGGCGTGCTGGCCTCCCAATCGGCTAATGAGCAACCGCTTGACAAAGCAGCTGACCTGCTAGTAATAGGCCTGCACATGTAAAAACTGATGACGTCACTCTGTGTTAACACGTGCACTTTCCTATGGAACCCGTAGGGTTCCACGGGCCACTGAGCCCAGTAGGAAAGTACACATGTAAACGAAGTTTAGCGTCATCAATACCGAGGTCTATTCGACCGGCTGATGAGTCAACCGACCAAATGGCCGTTTGACCGACCAGACGTCCAATGGACTCTGACCTTCCATCTACTAGTGTAGAGCAATACCAAATCTATGATTTGGCCGACAGAAAGGAATATCTCCACTCACCGCAAAAACTTGCCATTTCTTCAACGTGATCGTAATGAGCCACAAAACCCGCAGTGAACATTAAACACAACTTAGAACTGTTCGCCCTCCTAAAACGAGAAGAGTTTTGAAATATTTCTAGCATGTATTAGCGAGTCAATCGTGTCAATTTTTTTTCTGACATAATGTTTGTATTTTTTGCTAGAGCGGCACCGCCTTTTCGCCTTGGGCTCTAAAGAAAGATGCCGATGCAAATCGAAACACGGCCTTTCAGCTCGGTCGAAACCTCGGCTGTGATTCCTCAGACAGCACGGCTCTGGTGTCATGCCTTCGGACCAAGAACATGTTGGACGTAAAATCGGCTGCAGATAATGTAATTACATTTAATCTGTCAAGAATCATTAAAGTTGACATAGAATTTACATTGCATATACACAGGGTAGCGAGCAAAATCCAGCACTTTAGCCAGTTGAAGTTACAATGTACATGTATGTCTTGATTTTGACGGTCACCCCCCCCCCTTGATTGGCTTGGATAGGAATGAGCTAGCTTTTTACGTATATATAGATACCAGGATATTGAGAACTCGCTACCAAAAAGGATTCAAAAAGGTCAACTATAGAGTACATGTACGTGTTTTCGAGTCATCCCGCGGAGTCAACTGAATAGTCAGATAAACATAGTAAATCAAGGACTGCACTCTTCTTGTTCAAAGCTGATACTGTTGAACCTTTGTTGAGATCGGAATGAACAAATGCTTACCCTCAATTGTCCACGTTTCTCTCGACACCTCCAAGCTCTTTTTTCTCGGCGCGCCAGTTATTGACGGAGCTTTCGTGGACGACACGCCGGACGACCTTTACACGGCTGGCCGCTACAGCCCTGCCGATATTCTGGTTGGCTCCATGGCAGACGAGGGAACGTTTTACATCGCCCTCAACCCTCTATACGCAGAGTACTTTTATTCCGAGGACCCACCCTTCATGAATCGGGATACCTGCCGCGAACTTATCAGCTACGAATTGACCTCCACCTTTGGTAAGCATAGACTTGATGCATATTGTGCTTTAAAAATGGTTGTTAAAATGACACACATCATGCCAATGAAGGGCACTTCTTCAGAATATAATTAAATACCCAAGTGCCAAGTATTTATCGAATGACCCAACCTGATTCTGTTTCTAGCCTTATCCATGGTCACTTAACATAATGCACTCGTGCACAAAGATTGATAACGAGAGTAGACTAACATATCACGTGGTAGAAGGACAACGTTTACCCATGGATGTAGAAATGGTGTACCCGGCCGGTTGGGTGTTGAAATCGAGGCAAGAAATAAAGCAATACGGTTCTTGGTATTATTGGACAAAGATCAGCTTTAACTTATGATGGCATAGCCTAGTACTATTTCTTTCATTATTTTGGCTGTGAGGAATATTCAAAACGATTCGAGAACTCTTTTGTTGACAAAATAATGACCCGTGCATGTTTTGGTTAGAAAACCATATGGGTCAGCCATGTTGAAATTCAATGCAAGGTTATTGAGAGTAGAAATGAAAGTAATAAACTGAACTGTCGAAACGATTACCTTTCCCCTATAGTTCAAGTTGTGGTTAAATATTTTAATAAACCTTGGTGCTTTCAGCCAGACTTAGAAAAATGATGAATTGGAGGCCTGGAATCATGCACGGAAATCATATAAAAAAGTCAGGTGCCATCCTAATCGACAGTTTTCAATTTCTAAAACACACTCAGGGAAACAGATTGAAAATTTTGACTTCCATGCACGTGAGTTAAAGGCTTTTGGTCACTGGCAAAACGAATTGCGATAGGCAACCAGTCTTATATGTTGCTCCCGGTTTTGGAATGTTGCTCAATCAGATAGGTAGGCCCCTACTTAAGGACATGTCCAGGATTTTCCAAAGGGGAGGTGGTGTGAGCTAAAATAGCGATGGTATAGTGTAGCGCGAAGCCAATACGGCGTGGGGATGCAGAACTGTTGTTTTTCTTTACGCAGTTGTCACTGGGGCTGGGTTCCTCCCTCTTTCTTCTCCCCCTCCCCTTTTTTTGTGAAAAAAGGGAGGGATGCACCCCACACTCCCTTGATTTTCACCTGAGACAGCCTTTAACACTGCTGTCTTTAAAATACTCTTCATCCACATAAGGATGAAAAAAAGTTGAATAGGAGTGGCACTTAAGCATACCAAAACACTTTTAGACGTTGGAAACCATTGAACCATTCCTTTTGGTCCTTGGCATAACTGATTATAATATTTTTCCTACCCCTCTATACATATAGGGGGTTCCAATCAGCAAATAGTCGACGACATCATGGCGCTATACAGTGATTCACAGACGTCGGACTATTTCCGTTCCTTCGTCGACTTCTACACGGATTACGCCTTCGCTTGCGGGGCGAACCGGGCAGCCAGCCTGCACGCCCAGGCAGGCGACGCAGTGTTTCTGTACCAGGTCACCCAGACGCCGAGTGTGTCAGTGTTTGACGACGACAACGGGAACGGGCCCGGGTGGCTAGGCGCGACCCATGGTGAGGACATCACGTTCGTCTTCGGTACGGCGTTCTCACGTGGGCTGCAATTGACAGACGAGGAAAAAGAGCTCTCAGTCAAATTCATGAAGTATTGGACCAATTTTGCCAAGACTGGGTGAGTTGACCACACGGCGTTTTGGAGGGAACGGGAGACTTTGCTGAGACGCTGGTAGCAGCAGACATACCTGTCCCTGTTCGCATTCTTGCGCATATTCAGAACTATGCGGGCAGTGCAACGCCAGCATGCACAGACCTGGTAAAATTGACTAGTTTGTTTGCTTCCACTAAGCGTCTCAAAGTTTCCCACTGGAATAAAGTATTTCGCTCGTAGAATTCCACAGTGGTCCTCAAATCATGTTGCGTGCCGCCCTTAGGCGTACTTTATCGCAGTTGTAGGACTAATTTCATACCGAAAACCGTTTATACAGTTTGGGCCCTATGGAGTGTAATTCACCGACCAAAAATAAGTCATTAATGCGGTGGCACCAAACTAGTGGTACACGTGCGTTGCATTATGCTTCTTGGACCAATAGGGTGTCGTGATTTGCCAAAGGCAAAGAATGTGCATGTGAGTGCGGTACCACCTGTGGCATAGCGTGAGACGTTACGTGAGACAATATGACCGGCTGCATTCGAATCTGTTGTCTGAAGTTTGGTCTATCGCGCCACCGTAGCCGTAGCCGTTGCCGTGGAAGCCCGGTGTGGACACGGCTACATTTTGTAGTGCTGGAATGCACATAGTGATCAATTAACCTACCCGAGTTCGGGCGGCTTATTCTCGTATGTTCAGGAACAGCTTGATTTGTTGTTCGTGGGTCGGCCGCTCGAACGCCGGGAACGTACAACCGGTTTATCGTGCAAGCAACATGCACCATGGCGACGTCCTTGTGCATTCTTCGATAGTTATTGTTTGCATAACTGGGCTAACTTCTTTTCCATTAAACAAAATCATATTTTTCATGGAAAATTATTATGTCAATTTCGCAAAACTTTCCATTGCATTCAGCTTTGTAAGCCATCTCGATAGTTTTTGCAGCTTTTCAAAAAGCAAATCTCACGAATTTTTCCGTGTGTTCGTGTAAAACTCAGACGAGGAGGTGGTGTGTGAACCTGTTCCGAGGAAAGTGTTCTTGGGTCATGTTCTCGCCATTCGAGCGCAAGAACATGAAACCCGTGTCAAGAACAGGCCGCCCGAGCTCGACTTTAATAATTTAGAGTGGTAGGCCTATTCTCAGAATTACACCAAAGTGGGTGGTTTATAAGTAGTAAAAAACACCATGGACATGTTTTTCATTTGAAAAAGGAACCCCAGCATGAACACCAACGCTTCCCAGCCGGAATCGGGCAGCGACTTCTGGCCACTGTTCAACACCACATCCGTAGACTATAAGATTCTCAACGTGAACCTGGCCACGGCTAGCGCCCTCAAGAGAGACGTTTGCAAAACTTGGAACAACAATCTGTTCCCACGCCTGGGTAAGGCCCTTGAAGTAGCGTGACTGGGTGCCGTTTTACTTCATTCTGGGTTAATGTTTATTGACCGTAGACGCTCCCATGTCTTCATGCCGGTTTCGAAGCAACCCTTACACCTGTATTATTTTATGTCTTGGACACATATACATGTATACTGTTTTAGTGGCGGGTTTTGTATTTTAATGTGTTTAGAATCGGGGGATTTTCAACTTTTCATTAATTGCTTTTTCGGTTGAACTGACGGCCAGCCATAATTTTACCAGTTTTGTTAGTAAACATTGCCACTATGATGTAGAAAGTGCGTATCCAATTACATGTGCTCACTTTGCACTAGTTGCTGAAGGTATTAAGCACTCTGCTGCATACGGGTTTTGGGGTGAAGAGGGTGCCAATTAGAGTTAGACAGCAAGATACTGAAGAGGGGAAAAGCCATAATCACTGTTCCCTTACAATATACATGTAGACCTATTGGGGAACATGCTTCTCCGGCCCTAGCCCAAAATGTTCGTCTACATGTGTGTCTGTTGGAGACAGTAATGGTGTATACGTACGGCAATATCTGTTAGCAAAGTATAAGAAATCGAAAAGTTTGCATAATAGGCCACTGTCTTGTTGTCTAGAACTTGTATGTGGGCGGCCTTAGTTTACAAAAATTTCCCCATTTGGATGGTTTTCGATTTTTCCTTTGAATTCGTTTAAACTGGGCATTGTCCCATTAGGTTGAAAAAGGATAGGACTTTCCTGTAGTATTAGTAGTGCGTGTGTTAACAACTGGCGTTTTGATTGTTGCATGGGATTTTCAACATTTTGTGAATTATGTTCTTTAGTTAGCCGACGGCCAATTGTAGTCTTAGCAGCCACTCGAACTTAAAACACGACTGTGATGTCAAGAGAGCAGACCCTCTCAGTGCTTATATCCGTAACAGAGTTAACAGACTATACTGCAGTCCATTAATCAGTATAAATTGATCTTTGTGTAATCGACAATTTATCCTCTCCGCAGATGAATTGGATACGGACAACGGCGCGGCTGGAGTTTATGACAGCGTCGGGAAATTCCTGGTACTGACGATTACGTTAGTATCATCGTTTGTGTTTCTCGGGTAAAGTTCGGCTCTGCGGATTCCCACATCGGAAGCATCACAATAATGGGTCTGCAACTGTTCGATGTGAAAAGTATGAACAACGCACGACGGCGTACATAGCGCAGCGTGCGTATTGGCCTAGGTAAAGGCGCCTTTCCATAATGCTCTCAACACTTGCGCGAAGCATTGCGTATCCTTCGAACTCGCTCCCGGCGTGCACACCTGTGTTATGTTAATGGGTCGATTTTTGTGTCCGTGAAAGTGTAACAACGCTTCGTGTATGCAAAGCACCCAAGAACGTACATATGGAAAGGCGCATTAAGGCTGCATCTGAATCTTCATCTGTTGAATATACGCAGGTACACGCTATACACAATATCAGGTTTTGTTGTCGCTCTGGAAACCCGTTTCGAACACGGTTTATCATAGTCGCTTCGACTTTGTCCCTTAATGTGGTGCGCGTTTCCCTTGATTTATAAACACAGTGAACCCCTTTAAAAGGCTTCACGATATCTTGAATCGCTTTTACTCTTTAGCAAGCAAATGTTCCAGTGATAATTTTTTCTCCCTTAATTTCCCCGTAATACCTTGTAATATAAGACGTAAGAGAGGTATGCCTACTGGTGTATGGTTGATTTGGAGACCATTTGTAAAAACAAATACAAACCAAAAAGACCCCGTAATTTTATGTTCTTGGAATACTAATGTTGAACCCTGCGTTACTCATAAAGTCCACTTTAGGAGACCGCGCCTTCACCTCAGCAGCACCTAGGTTGTGGAAGCCTTGCCCTCGGACATGAGATTTGACCACTCATTGTGTTCTTTTAAAACTAAACTTAAAAACTTTCAAGCATTTGGTAATTCTAAATCCTTGTATCGCTCTTAACTTTTGGGGAGGGACCTAATGCTGTATGGCGTATAGTATAGAATTTCATTCGCTCATTTTGTGTGTGTTTTTAAGTTATACTGTGTAGGTTACATGTATTTACAAGTTTAGATATGGGTTCTTTTTAGTTAGAATATTTATATACAGCTAATGATACTTTAGTTGTTTCATTTCAGTTATAATTTTTTTTTTTGGACTGTCGTGTGTTGGTCCTTTTTATATTAATCTTGGTTACTACTTAGTTACTATTTTTAACTATGTAATGAATTACGAACAGGTGTGTCCTGGAGAAAGCACAGCATAAATTCAATTATTATTGGTGGTAGTATTATTAAAGTGGCCTTTGACTGATGCGAATCACTGCTGGCCTAGGAGTTCTGATTGCCTCATATTACTGTAATTAAAAAGAATGTATTTTGGTAGTCTTACATGCCGTTTACGTTGTTTAGCTTTTAGACACTTATTTAAAATTTGGATATCCGATCAGAAAGTTTTTTCTTCCCAAAGGTTTTTGCATTATTATGAAAAGTGACATCATGAATTTCGCTTAAATAATTGGTCTCATCTCACTCGAGTACATGTAACTTTTGTTGCTGTACTTGGGTTTGCAATTTGAACTTGAAAAAAAAGTTGAATAATTTGGATAATGTGAAAAAAGGTGTCCCTTTGAAATATTTGATTAACCTGAGTTGTCTGTGCGCGCCTTATACGTAGTTTTGTAATGTTAGACACATAAAATAGCGTATAAACCCCCAAAGTAATTAATGAGCATGTGTATAGTTATGCCGTCTTTAGTAGGTCAGCGCATAATGGAGCCAAGTATTACCAATTCTGCAAAACTCTATTGACAAGTTGACATTATTAAGCCACTTGGTGTCAATTTTCAGTCCATCACCCCAGCTCCATAAACGTTCACAGCATGTATTGTTTTATAAAAAGGTTAAGAGGTTTCAAAATGTATATAAAAAACTTCAGGGAATTACTGTCAATTTACACTTGTAAATTAAGTCATTTCTTCTTGCCAGCAATGTTAACTTTTGGGTAAGAATGGCTTTAAAAACACATATAGAAATGAAGAATGCCTGCTTAAATTAGGGGCGGATTTTAAGGATATACCTAAACCAGGAAATTGCGGTGCCGTAGACACTTTTGGGACGCCGAGCAGATGTGGATTTTGAGGCAAGCCTAGGGTACACTTTCTGGCAAGAGGGGCTCGATGCAGCTTGTAATTAAAAAAGGACCAGCTTGTCACTGGACACTTCCGATGGCCCCTTTCAATGGCAGACACCAACTGAGTGTTATTTTGTATGGAGTTCACGCCACAACGCTCACCTCCATTGGCGGGAGCCACTGCACAATGGCCGGCGGGAGCGTTACCATGGTTACCAGATTCCTCAGCATGCAGCACCTTGCGCACGTATTCCCCTACCCTCTGCCACATAATAATGAGCAAGTAACACCCCACCATCTGAAGTCTTCTTAAGATTCTTCCCCTCCTTGAAAATGATGAATAGGCCTATCGGCATATTCCTTTAAAGCGTTCTCCGCTTCGCCCCTCTGAAAAGTATTGGCTTTGACAGCTGTCTCAGTTTTTTCACAAAACAACTCGTTCGGGAAAAAATACAGCACTGACAAATATACAGAATAAAAAATTGGTTGCAGATGGTTGAGGACATCTGCTCAATAACTGCTAAAAATAGCGTGCAGATATTCATAATGAAACATAGTCAGCGCTGTAAACGACGGATCGTGAACGATTGTCGAGTGATTCGAGTTCAAGGCTTTTGAGGCTGTTTCGCGGCCCGCATAAGGCAGTTCGCGGTCAGTCCAAAGAAAGGGTAGGACGGGGATTTTCGCAACTTGACAACTGTGCTTGCAAGAGAAAGCCCAGCCAGAAATGAACTTAACACGATGAGCCGTTTGTGACGGCAATTTTTTGTTTTGTTTTGTCATGTTTTTATTTGCCTTTTTCGTTAACGGCGTGACCTACGAGGAGTGCAGAAAAACAGTGCCGGTTGATGGGTGGGTGACAAAGACGGATCGGGGGAGGGATGGGGGGGGGAGCAGCGGGCGCATGCTCTTTCCCCCGAGGAACCCCAAATTGACAATGAGAAAAGGTGACTTTTGGAGTCTATTTCATTCCCCGTCCAACAACGAAGTCTGTAGTGCCCTCCTTAAGACGTTTCTAATCAAAATTTGGCAGCCAGCCGAACTCCAATCACTGACAAAATGGAAGTCAAGATGACATAGCTCTGTATGTGGGTCCGGCGCTTTCATATTTGGTCACACTGGATGACGATGTCATTGACATGAAGAAAAACTGCATCACAAAACAAGAAAACACTAAGAGCTGCGAATAAGTGCACTATTACTACACAACAAAAACACATCAATGAGTTCTCTCCCCTCTTTCGAGCGTGAGAACAAGAAACCCGCGTCAAGAACAGGCCGCCTTATCTCGACCCATGAGTGTGAAGCATGGTTCTCAGATTACCTGTCGAGAGAGGGCGCTATTAAGAAATACAGTTGGAGCAATGTGAACATAACAAAGGCCGTGTCCGAAATGGGCTTCCAGAGCTACGGCTATAGGTCTATTGTCTACGCATCTTCACGCATTTCCAAAGGAGCAAAGACCTAGACCTAGCTCTAGACTAGAGGTTCGGATGCAGCCAAAGTTACAGCCCCAAAATGTAACCTGCCCCCCCCGTCCGCTAAACTTTTCATATTTTCGAAGTTTTCTCTTTATCCCTCTCTCAGAAATGTTTTCAAGAAGTAAATTCTGGGTGCACAACTTACAAAAAATTGTGCACAATCATGAACTATGTCTTCCCTCGATGACATCACAGTAAAAGCGCCCTGGATTGTTGACGAAAGCACAGATAAATTTAAGTGCGTGTTTTTGCATGCGCTTTACTAAATGGGAGTGTAAGATAGTTTTCACACATTTAAGAAGAGTACAAAGTTGAAGAAAAACTGTGCCTAAGAAAACGCGCTGATGTGAAATCCCTCTATTGCGCACACCAACAAAAGCACAGGTTTTGCCGACCTAACTCGGAGAATTGGGCGTTTCGCAAGAATGGTATGTCAGTTTTTCGCAAAACTGTTGTCAAAATAACCAAAAGATGTTAAAAAAAAACAACAGAAAACCAGTGACTATATCGAAGAGTTGGCGTTCCAGCTGGGTCCTTTTCGGGTTCGAAAAATAGTTGCGAGCGTATTGCAAGCACTTGGAGTTTAATACTCCTGTAGGAAATATTCTCAGTGTTTTTAGTAACTTATTAATCTCGCCGTAGATGATCTAAAGGCAGTCAGAATGTTTATTTGCATGCCTCTAACAAAATGCTTTAAACTAGAATGCCTTATATTTGTCTTATTATGTTAACAAAACCCAACGAGCTCTCACACTGCAAAAACTGGGGTGTTATATTTAACACCTCCGGTGTTATCAGAGGACTGCACCAACACTTTTCACTGTTGTTAAAGTTTGGGTGCTATTTTGTGTCACTTTAGCACACTCCAGTGTTTTGTAACATTTATAAGTGTGCGAAGTAACACCAACAGTGTTAAAGTAACACCGTATAATGTCGTCATCTGATAACACCAAAAAGTGTCGATTTTAACACCACCATTTTTGTAGTGTAGTATCTGCTTACAGGCTGTTCATTACGTTACATTGGAGCTTTTACCTATAAGATATTAGGCAACATATGTAAAAAAAAAGTATGCTGAGTAATTACTTGTTTGCAAGTGATGCGAAATCGGTTGGTGCTGTCTTTCATACATCAAAAATGCCGCTTCTACTATCCCTTCTACTCAACCTGCATCCTACTTGGCTTACTCTGCAGCTACCCGCAGAAATGCATAGTTCCATAATTCCATTACCTTTTATTTTCCAAACTCGTAACTAAATTGAAAGTGAGATAAAATTTTGAGAGTTAGAATCTGAAAAACTCACTGCGTATGACATCAACTTAATTGAACTCTGTTACAGATGAATAGGTGTGTGTGCTCTGATGAATAATTTGTGACTAAGCTTAGCTTCATGTGGTGGGCCACATTAAAACAAGAAGTAATGACTGGCAGGGTGAACGGCATGCAATGCAACCATAAAATAGTCGGGGACAATTCCCTTTAACAGTCTACCGTATATATAAAATAGATTCAGGAAACATGATCAAGCGCTGCGCCCCTTATACGAATCCATCCATGTCCTTGTCCTGTGCATTTCCGCGCAGGGAAGATATATCCACTCGGATCAGGGATGATTTCGTGGCGAGCATACCATGCACCATTCAGTGCCGGCACAAATGGACAGCTGGCGTTGGTGAGGCGAGCAACAGTCTAAATTATTCCAACAGTTGCTAAATTATTCCAACAGCCATGTACAGACGTTAAATCATCCCACTCCCGTCCAGACTTCATTGATAAATCGATTGCAGAAGCTGTTAGCACACATGTACATCGTCACCATAAAACACAAGTGGAGATGTTAATAATATTAATGCCATCTGGAAGCTGGAGACGCTTACTCACAGGAAAACGGTTTGCTTATTGGCAAAATGGAAATGCGTGACCACAAAAGCGTAAACTCAACCATCAAAATAAAAAGCCAAAGTAAAAATAAAAACAAGAACACGCAACCAACACCACAAAGAAACGACAAAAACGTCCCAAAGTCAAGATACAGTCTCAAATCCAAATCTTCATTCTCCTGAGCATAATCCTAAAATCCCCCCCAAACAAAAAAAAGAAAAATGCAGTGTGTTATTTCTTCAGCGTGTTTTTCTGATTATGTCTCGCATAAAAAGGCAAAATACAGATATCACACATGAAGAAGCATTTACGAAAATTCACTCCAATATTTGATTGAAAAGACAGTAATGAAAGCTATGAACATAATCTTATAAATGAATACACCTGAACTCTAATGTTTGAAGCTGTTTTAAACCTTTTAGGGAGACTGGAAAACGCTCCAGTCACTCTCCTACTCAATATGTCACCATTTATAAAGCAGCTTCGGGGAAGCCAGTCAATACAATTGCTCAGTTAGGAAAATTTGAGTTTGATCAGGTGTTTAATAGATTAGGTGATCTGGAGTTTGTAAGGTGTGTTGAACAGAAAAGCCAGTTTTGAAGCAACCCTTACACCTGTATTATTTTATGTCTTGGATTTTTCTTTACTTACTACTTCGTTGCATTTTTTCGTCGTTTGGAGAACCACAGATTAACAAAGATAAAGATGGAGATTGGCAAAAAGCAAGGGCGTTAAAAGACAAACTAAACTGAATAAAACCAAAACAAAAGTAGCTATTTGCTAAAAGCTTTTCGCTTTGATCACATCAATGAACTGCCAGTGTATACCCTTTGCAAAATCCCTAAATGGAGAGCGTTGTAGAAATAATGCACCGCAGACCAAAACCTTCATTTGCCTTAAGGGCGCCATGTTTACATTATTGTAAAACGCTTGTACCTTTTTCGCAATTCGGTTGGTTGAGAAGGGTCCCCCTCCCCCGATAAAAAAATGGCGATACCACGTCTCACATGAATCGTTTGTTCGTAAGTGCACAGGTTGCTTGCATGCTGGTTGGCCTTCACGTGAAACGTGGGCAAATGTGCCCTTTATAATAGAACAAATTGTGTCCACTTACCATTCAGGCTGATGTAATTGTACTTTGACATTTTCACTCTCCAGCTTAACATAATTTTTTCAGATGCTATTATTTAATTAAAAGAAATGATTATACGCGGATTCAAAGTTCACATCTGTTTCGAAATGCCCGGAGCCCGAACCTTGGATAAACAAGCGCGCACGTATACGGCCCAGATTGACTTCAAACAGTAAATTCACGAACACGGTGTGCATCAACATTGAGACTGTTTTCTTAATCAAGATAGTACCGACAGTTATTTTTTCATAGACAATAGATTAATTAGTTCTTCCTGAACAACCGTGAAAGGCCAGTTTGATGGTTCTACTTATCGCCACAAGACTCAGCTACAACTAATATAGGAGCCTCCGTCTATGGAATACAGAATCTTATAGCGTAGCGACAAAAACTAAATAAAGAATTAAAAAAACAAAGCACTTTGAATTGTAAAAATATTTTGATTGTTTCAAGTTTTGCAGTCATTTTACACTTTTGTGCGACTGACATCACTTGTTTTTGGCTGAATAAAAGCACACAGCTGGTATGTTTTCAGAATGGTACTCATAACCTACAAACATTTTCCACCCTCGATCTCGAAATCGTTCAATTTTTTAATTATGCGTATTATATGCTATTGGTACATATGGAATCAGAAATCAGCACAAAACCTGCTTAATTGGGTTCAGGAAACTGTCTATTTATGACTGAATTCCGGGTCAACACCCTTACAAATTTGCAAACAGTGCCAAGTTTTAAAGTGATTTTGAAATTTACGTGAAATCGTTTTAGAAGAGCTTATAAAGTACATAATGTACTCAATATATTATAAGCACGCATCACTTATTTTCGTTGGGATGCTGGTCGAGAAGAACGAAATTTATTTTTTATACATAAGCAGCCCGATGTTTTAACATAATAAATGCCGCAAGTGTAAGGGGTCAGCAAAAACAATGAAAGAACATTACACCGTCGACAGTCAAATTACGTAGGCAGAAAAGAGAGCCGTATAGTTTATTGCATACGTTCATGACCTGGACTGGTTATATTTGTTTTTTACCATCGCTTTCAATTATTATTGTTATTGTTTAAATTGGGCTCGAAATGCAAACGCCAACAAATTCATACAACCCAAAGTAGAGCATATTCTCTAACATTAGTATATCCATGAATCAGCAAAACAGGAAGAAATTCAATTGCACAAATAACTTTGATCAATTTCGAGACGTTTGAAAATTAGTTTTGGACACGGGAACGCAGTGTCGGAAACGGTATACCACCATAAGTACACTAGGCAAGCTTCAGCAACAAATGCGGTATTTTTCCAATGCTGAAAACTGCTTTGTCAGCCACAATATCGGAATACATTCCTGATTTTCGAGCCACGTAACAGATTCGTCAAAATGTGTTGAATGGTTCCACGCATTTCGGAAAAAAATTCTAGCTATAGGCCTAAATCTGCCATTACAATTTACCGTTTCATTTTGAAACCGAAAATAATGACAAATTTGACTCAGGACATGACTTTGACATGGCATATGGCGGCCGCACAGAGTAATTCTTGGGTCGACGTTTTAGTATTAAAAAATGAGAATTTGTTCATGCTTTCGCCGCGAACCCTAGATGAGAGAATCTACGACTGGAACAACCGCAGCAATAGCTATATTTTTTATCTTAAAACAACTGCATAATATTATATTTCGCAAAGTGGTTAGCACGCATTGCACTGCTGTACGTTGTAAATATAAATATTTAACCCTTAATGAGCCAGACCAGAATTTCCCCTTCAACTGCTGCACTGCTGTACGTTGTAAATATAAATATTTAACCCTTAATAAGCCAGGCCAGAATTCCCCCTTCAACTGCTGCACTGCTGTACGTTGTAAATATAAATATTTAACCCTTAATGAGCCATGCCAGAATTCCCGCTTCAACTTTCTCTCCAATACCATTGCAATGTATGTGTCTCTTGCGCCAAGCCTTTTTTGTGGTCATTTTAAACATCAATTGTGTAACAATCAGACATACCATTCTCGGGAAAATCCTATTTAATCAAGAAGAGTAAGGCAAAAATGAATACTTTTTCCGATTTAGCGTGTTTAATGTACGTAAACTGGCACACGTGAAGCAACGGCCAAATTGCTACAACGACAAAATCATTATCTTGAATTGCAATGAAACATAGATATAAGTAGTGGAAAATTATCTGGATTCAAAAAGAATGGACACGGTGGTACCGGTACAGCCAAGTTCTTAAATTAAGGATTCCGCCCCGGAAGTGGGATGTAACAGCATCATTTACTTTTGAAACTCAGTGAATTAAAACAAAAATAAGATTTCGTGTAGTTTGCACAAAGGATACAGAAGAATCAGATTTGGTTCACAGCTACGGAGGCCGGCAAGAGTCACATTTGTAAAGGTTGGTAACAATGGGTTCCATACTTCTGTCCTCCATGGTCATTTCCAGCACTTCCTGCGTGTCTTCGCCCCAGTTCTGAAGCCGCGCACCCCAGTAGTGGTTCATTCGCAGATCAGTTTCAGGCAAAATCTTTCTGGTCCCGTACTTCAGTGAATTGTGGTGTATATCAGGCCATCTCACGGCGGCTGGCCTGTACACAGGCTTGACCAAGTGATTTGCGGGCTCTTTGGTCCGCCTCCAAATCCTGTCAATTAGGATCGGGTGTTTGGCGACGTCAAGCGGTTTGCCAAGGTAGAGGAAGTTCTGCATGCTGAGCTCGGAGATGCTGGCCGCTGTGGGCGAAGAGGTGTCGAACTCCCGCAAGTACCGGGCGAGAAACCCGGGCTCGCGGTCGGCCGGCAGGAACGGGTACTCATCCATGTCGACCCCGAGCTGCCAAGAGCTGAGGTTCCCCCAGCGCTCGAGGCAATCAAGGTAGGCGCCGGCCTGGGTCCAGCCTAGAGAGAACGGTGTGGCTCGGTGGTGCCAGTCCGTGTACGTCAGGAAGCCGCTGGCGATGAAATCCTTCAGGCCTGCTTTCTGTGACTCATTCTGGTATACGTAAGCGTCGTACAGATACACATGGTCTCCACCGGCGTAGCTGATGTACCGCAGCCACTGGATGAGCTCGCGGGTGCTGAGCTTCGCTTTATCCTTCCAGTCGTAAATTCGGACAGATAGCACGGCCGTGAGAAAGTACGGCTTGGAGTTTTTTTTGCCGCTGTCGTCGGTCGGCACCTCGGCGTGCGTCGTTCGCTTAATAATACCGCGAAAGGGGAACCCGTGGCACCAATGCGGGCAAGGAGCAGCAATGCTGTTAGACGGCCTTTGCCTGTCTTGTCCCAAAACGGGCTCGTCCCGGTTCACAGCTCGGTCATCGCTCTTGTCTGGGTCCGCATAGACCCTGGTATCTGCGAGCCTTACTGCAAGCCAGAAATTCACCAGAGCTACAGACAGGAGAAGAGGAAGAAGGCACCTTTTCGGGGTCTTCTTCAAGCTGAGGAAACGAATGACCATATCTGTTTTTCAAGCAGTGTCCGAAGCTTTTGGTGACCTGATGGCTCTGTGCAAGACCATAAGATTCTTTTCAAAAAATCGACAGGCTTTTCTTCTTCAACGTAGAGTTTTCCTTTATGGTTGACAAATGGTGTAAGGCGCTATCAAGCAGAGTCATTACAAGTCGGAAATTGATGATTTACTCATGGTTTCAACTGCCGACATTAAGGCTATTCGAAGGCTTAAACATTCCAGTGATACTGACAGAATAGCTGAATGCCTGTGTAAGAAAATACGCAGCTACTGCATGCTATTTTGGTTTGAACCCAGCAGAGTGTTCCAGTTCCTATAATGCTGGCAGTTCGCAGCAGTCCACAAGAAACGTCAAGTGCAAAGTGCAATGGAGTATTTATTTTTTTGGTATTAAACGATCTGTTTATGGTGCGACATGTACATGTAAGTTCACCCACTGTAAAAGTAAACAAACTAGTTAACTGTGGTGTTCAACTGCAGTTAAGTTGCACGTTGCAATCACAGACAATAGTGTATACTGCATCCTTCATCGCGCCGTGTACGCTGGTGAAGTGTCTCTTTGTAGATGTTGTACGTCCGCAAGCAGCAACCGCAATGAAGGCATTATGCTATAGCGCCACGCCAGTTACACTTTAACCCGATGTTCCGTGCTTTCAGTAACCAACAGCGACTTCGCCTTCGACAGCAGAGACGAATTTGCGGCGGGAATGGGCGATTGTTTGAATCATCGCAAAATTAATTTTGACGCCTTTCGTGTGAAGTAGGAGAATGCTGTGGATGCAGTAAGACAGTCAGTCACCTGTCCGCAACTTAGCAGGAAAAATATGTTGCCTGGGTCAGCTGAATCGTTATCTAGGATTTCACAGACGGCGAAGTTTAAAGCGCACACCCGTGCGGCTCGTTCTTACACATATGCATGATATTTTTAAACAAGGGACAAAATGCAACACATCGCGGCGGAGCGAAACGGACCGTTTTCCGTTTCCGTCCGCCTGACAGTGGGAACGATAGATCCGTTATTTACATACACTGACGGCCATAAAATTTGCAAAACGCTCACCATTGGCTGGCAACAACATTTGCCTCAACACACACTTTCTGTTTCACGTGAGGCATTTTCACTTAATGTTTAACAGAGGCATTTGCTATTTAGAGATTTGCAACTGTTGTGCCAGACTTTTTAAACATTGCGCAAAACATTATTTAGTTTTGTTCTCATCAGCCATGCATGGTCTTGGAAACAAGGTTAATTGTTAAATTGAAAAGGTTAATTATCAAAGTCTGCGCTTGACATGTAAAGTAGAAACATGTAAAGTAGAAATGTTGAGGACGATTGCTTTTCGTAAGAGACAATTTTGTGCAACTCCACAGTCTTAATATATAATTATATTAACCTAATTTATCTTTTTTTTGGTGACGAGGTGTTTTGCAAGTTAATTTTATTAACGTTTAAAAATGAGCCCTTTGGTATTTCAACAGCGCATGGCTAAACCCAGGCGCGTCTGAAGTTATTTGGGAAGAGGAGCACGCACGCATGACAGTCTGTCTATCGGGGTGGATATATGCACTTTATTATGACCTTACCTTTTCGTAATACAGCGAACTGGCTCATAATAGAGGGATCCCAATACGACGCTTTTAGCGTCGATCTGCGTACTTCCGCGTTTGAAAACGAGGCTGTATGTGTCAACTTCAATTCTTAATACTATCAGACGATTGAAAGTAAGGAGTCAAGACACAAAACACATAAAGGTATGTTAAAGTCAGACTGTTCAGGCTGCAATTTTTTGTGAAAGAGTCTTTCAGGATGACTCGACACGAAAAATCAAAAGAAAAAATAACGGCAATTTACCGCGAACTAACGTACCTGCGATGGTCGTGTATCTGCATGTGCAGTGGGCGTGGTTTAAAGTGGAGTGGCGTCACACTTCGAAACAGATACTGCATGTACTGTGTCGACTCCGCTGGCGCGCGATCAAGTCCAACCATGGAGGAATGTACAGCACAGGGAGTGTCGGTTTCGATGCAGATATGCGCAGACGTAGACAGCGTTAATGTGAAATGAGAGGGCGCTGTTCTTGCGACGTCATCCACCAAGAAAATGATGCACTAAGCCCATGTAATCGGTTTACGGTTTTTTCTCGGCTCAAGATTTGGAAAACAATGTGCACTCATTGAAAAGATTTATGACTAGGTTCATACACGTGTACTTACGTAATAATGAAGAGAATTACAAAATAATAATAAACAGAAGGCTTTGTGTTCACAAATCAATGCAACACTCCGGTTGTCTCCCTGGAATTACAATTTGCAAAAGTTATAAAACTTAAAAGGCATTAAGATACCCTTTTTTTCATCTGGAAACTTGAATATAGGTTTAATCGAAACTCAAGGATGCATTGTCTTCGGTGTCAAAGGGAGGTTCGCATTGCATAGACCTCGTAAAGGTAATTTGTCAGTTTCTTTTGTTGTTTGATTATATTTTTTAAAATTATAGATCGAGAACTTCTAAAATTATAGATCAGGGTTTGTAAACTAAGAAGGAATGGTGGAAGTTGTGAACAGAGTTGCAAGATTTCTATTAAAACTCACCAGTGCGTCAAGACCGATGGCTGAAAGTCACACTTCGCCGTCTTTGGACTGGCATTTATGTACTGAATAAAAGTCTCCGTCCGTGTCACCCACCAGCTAGGAAAGTCAAAATCTTGAATAGTTACAGTGGGCTTACGGTTGTCAGGACTCTGACAGGCCGTTTGTTAGAGACTTTACTTATTTATAAAAGATTATTGACGCCAGGGGCATTTAGATAAAACTATGTCTTCATTTCACGATTTATCTGGGTATGATCGCTCGCGATATTTTCTTGGGGGTGGAGCAAACCGACAATAAATTTAACCGACCTTTGTGACATTAGCACGTACATCATGGAATCGAATGGCGGAATATTAACAAGAGAAATACCTTCTTGTTCAGAAAAAGAAGCCATTCTGAGAAACGAAGACGAATGAAACATTTAAACCCCTCTCATGTGTGCCCCCCCCATCATTTGGAAACGACAGACCATCGTACGCAGTGAGCAGCCTAGAATATCATATGCACGCACTGTACCACGTACATGTACTGTACACTGTATATCAGTATCTCCAGCTTTTTTTTCCAGTTCCCCTGAACAAAGAGTACTGAGATCGCCTGGACAAGGCTGTGATGGGTAACACGGAAAAAACGGGTTTTCCTTCAGTGTTTTTGTTTTACCAGTACGGGATGCTAGCAGAGTTTACCTCCGCCAGCAGAGATCGAGAGGGTTTATCTTTCTTCACTGAGTACCAACTACACGTTGAAATAAGTGTGCAGATTTTAAATACATAAACATGTATTTCGGTGACGCGTTACCTGCGTTACAACGGCTGTGATTGGTTGGATGCAGTACAAGTGACCAATCAAAGCAAACGTCTGGGAAATTCAATGTTATTGTACGGATCGGATCCATGCGCAGTGTGCATGCGTGAATGAGATGTGAAAAAGAAGTTGCTGCTGCAGTGCTGCTGTAGAAATTGTACATTTTTTTTTATTTTTAATTGGATTGAAAAACATTTCATCAAAGTACATCATGCCAACTTCGGGTGAAGCTCGAATTCGTCCAACATCAACTTACAATCTCAGGTTTGTATAATTTAGCTACACTGCCACTTTTTGAAGGGTGATTATGCAGCCATTGCATGCAGGTTCCTTGATCAGTGATGATCATGTTCATGTCCTACTCCTGAGCCTAGCTGTATTACTATCATGACATCATGACTATAGCCGAAGGCCCTAACGTTACTTTTTGGATCAGATGATGGGTGTCAGAGTCAAACGCTACACATGTAGTATAACCGTGTCCAGTATCCGGACGTGCAGACAGTGCAGACTGCATACAATTAAGACACCTCTGTAATGACATGTCCGAATGTTCAAGACATGAAAGAGGTGATTCTTAGACAGAGTTAAGCACTACCCCCAGACATGCCAGCATTGCCCAAAAAGGGGTCCGATGTCAGAGTGGCAGATGATGAGCCTCACCAAATCATGCACAGACATTACAGATCTGGCATTTCACACACACGTACACAAACAGGAACAGTCCATGGTCCCTGGTGCCTCGAAAACTTGCTTTCGTGGAAAGGTTTTTGTCCAGAAATATCCGGTAATTATCCAGCCAGCCTACGTACATTGTAGACCTACATGTAGGTCTATGATACTTAACCTAACAATTTTGGTCAGTCGAATGCTGGTATAACAAGCTTTTTTGGTGGTAAGTCATGTCAGTAGTAGTTTAGCCGGTTCTACAAACATTTGCCGGTTCGGTAAACCACACAGTGGTTACCCCCAGAACTGTGGGGTGGGACATCTGTCTGGGTTGAGTCAAGTCCCACAGTTCTGGGTATGCAAGGTACATGTACACTGTAGGTCTTGTTTCTCCAACACAGGATGTGCGTCACACACACACTGAAAGCAGGTATTGCAACATACATGTATCTAAAACTCGTTTGCGGAACTGGTAGAAAATCTTGCAGTCACTTTTGTGTCCAAAACATACATTTGAAACTACACAGAGCTCATATTTTCACGGTGAGATAACTGGCAATTTCCGATAGCAGAAGGAGTATTGGCTTGAAAAAAGTCACCGCGATGATCGTTTAAGGAGATCTTCCCTCTTATGGCTCTACTGGTAAATCTTCACATTAGCTAGGTTAATAAAACAGTCTCCAGTTTCTGGTCAGGGGCTGGCTCCAAAAGTGGTGCAGCAACACAACTATTTTTTTTTTTGGTTCTCACTTTTTTTTCTATACGTATTACGCGGGATGTCCATCCTGACTGCATACGTACATGTACATACCGCCACTACCAACACTGAAATACATGTAGAGTGGCCCCCTCACATTTGCAGCTTGTATACACATGATATAAGACCACCTCGTCTGGTTCCCAGATATGTATACAGGAATAACTTCATCTGTAAAAGAATGCCTGACTAAATGCATAGGGACTCCTTTACTATACATATTACTCAACCGTACCCCATCTAAAACATGTTAAAATCATGCACTAGCAGGATTCCAGTCAATTAAGCAAGTTTTGCAACTTTTGGCCATAAAAAATAATTTTTTTTTTGCTGACACACAGGTCTATATACATGTACTTAGGTGACACGCATGCCGACCAGAAACTGGAGACTTTTTTGTTGCCTTATTCATTTTTTGTACATAAGAGACTTATATTTAAACTGTATCGTAGAAATTATTTGGGGGATGTTGTGATTTAGGGATTGTTAAAAACAAGATTCCATACAGTTGGTCAGCTCATCAGCCTAACGCATGTCCAATGTGATGCACACAAAGAACAAGAGAGGGTTGGTTAAAATTCTGGGTTTTTTTTTTTTTGTTTTTTTTTCAAAAAGTAGTCGTTACAGTCTTATGGTCTAAAAGCAGCTAAGAAAATTTCAATAGGTACATATATGTATATAACTTTACTTTAGTCCAATTAATTCAGTACATGTATGTAATTAGGACACTACAGTTGATTGTCCAGTTTCGCAATTTAGCCAGTTCTGCAATTTGGAAAATCAGGCTTCATTTTCAGATAAACACAATTGCTGGGGACTCGATTCATACCTCTCTGAAATAGTTGACTTGAAAATCTTGCAAAAAACAGTTTTGTTTTCAGAACCACCGATGTAAATTAAGAAGGTAGGGGACGATCGTTTTTCACCGATCGCAGTTCACAACAGCAGCACGTGTGCGTTCAGCAGGATGTTGCATTTGTCATTCTTTTAAAAGGAGGCTTGGATCCAAAAAACCCACATGCTGTAATAGTTCTTGGCAAACCAAACTGAGAAATTGAAAATGAAATTTTAGGATGCATTTTGCTCAGATTTCAGTGTGTCTAAAGTTTCTGTTTAAATGGGTCTGCCCTAGGTCTCGTCCACTTCCAAGGGCAAAAAAAGCGACAGCTGGTGTCCGGACAACTTCACGCAGCTTGTCCAAAAACAAGGAAAATGTCAAGCAGCCAGGTGGCAAAGACAAGCAAAGGTAATGTTCAAAGTCGAATTTATCATTAATTGTGTTACCATGATGGCCGTATTTGCACTGAGCAATCAGTGGTACACTTTGGTTACAAAGACACCATTATGAACGACTGGGCATTGTGGAATGCATGTAACTTGTTGCAAACTTCAGGATTGCCAAACTTAAAGCATCCATTCTTAGCTGACACAAAGCTTGATGATTGATTTGTTAACCTCACCACATGCTAACATCATTGTTGTATGTAAAATAGTGTTCATATCATGGACAACATGTACGTATGTATTCCTGTGATTATGGGTTTGCACAGCAATTGTAAATATGCCACACCGTGCATTTACATGTACATGTACAATGTACATAATGTACAAATCGTCACTTCGACAGTCGCATTCCAGTACCGGTTAAAACAACGCCCGCGGCCAAGGCGACCACCCCGGCAGACAGCAAGGCCAGCCCTGCCTGCAGATCCAAGAGAAGGGTGAGGCCGGTGCCAGACTTCGCCAAGCTGCACAAGTCCTGGCAGTCGTCCTTCAACAAGGTTAGACTGGTGAACAGACTCAAGGCTGGTTCATGCTTGTTGCAAAAGGAAACAAGAATGTAACATCAAATATATTCAATGTATATTATACAAATGTTTGACATATTACATAAAATCATATTCACTTAAGGTAGCTTTTTCATTTGCCTTAAGAATAGGCTATTACTTTTGAAATCTGAACATGTATCTATATTCAGCGACACTTTCAACCCTCTTCCCCTGAACCCCCCCACACAAAATATATGTGGAGGTTCATGGTATATTCTTTTAAAGTGTTTCTTTTCGTGCGATTGTTTTGTTTTCAGCTTTGTTTTATGTCTGTTTTGCTTTTCTTCATTTTGTGTTCTGTCTTCATTTGGAGTGTTTCTGCTTAATTGTTTTAGTTTTTTCTTACATGTACATGTAAATGTACTGTGAACATATTGCAATTCTCTATATTTTGTCTTTGTATTTCCTGTCTAGGGAAAAGCTTGCAGCAAGAAGCAGTGTACACAGGTACATGTAAAAGCCTTTGCCTTCTTCAACCTCCATCATCATTTCATTCAACTTCCATCATCCAAAGTGGTACTTTGCCATTGCAAACTGAAAAAGCACCAGAAAATTCAATTTTCAGTCTCAAAAGGTATATGTATTTGTTTCCAATCGAATTCAGTAACTCCCAATCAAAGATCTTAAGCTTCACAGAAAGAAGGGTTTTAAATAAGTGCTCGCTTAGTGGACAGAGCTCATGGAATCAGTCTTCTGTTTCCACTTTGAATCTGTTATTAAAGGTTCCAGGCAAGAAAGTTTTGTTCGACCCACTTTTATGCAACTTTATTCTCTTCTTCAGCTCATGAAAACAATGTGACATCCTTTCAGGGTTAAGTGTACCGGAAAGGGCCTCTGGACAACAGAAGCATTGTTGCACACACTGCCCATTTTAAATGATTTTTCTGTTCAGATTGTGAACCCAACGTTTACTCATAATTGAAAATATTGCTGAGAAAGGCTGAGCTCACAAGTACACTGTCATCTACTCAAGCAGCAGTGGAACACTGAAGCAGGGGAATTTTAGAACAAGAAATAAACATTCCATCAGCTTTCTTGTGTGTGCAAATCATGTATAAACATTGCAGTTTTCTCTGTGGAATGACACCACAGTTTTGCTCATGAATATCGAAATTGGATTAGCATACAAACTGAAAAGGTACATGTACCAAAATACATTCAAAAGTAGCGAAGTAAAAACTTGAGCACATAGGCACATTTTCGAGGATAGTTGTCAAACAAGAAATTGCATTGCATGAAACCCTTAATTCCTGTTGTTTGGTGCCACCCACTTTTATATTCCATTCACAGATCCGGGAGTTTGACCTGACAAAGCCAGGCACTGTTTTCCATGCCCGGTATCACGATGGCAAGCATGTGTCACCCACCATGGACGAATGGGACGAAGACATCTTCCAGTCGGACGACGAAGCCTTGCAGAGCATTCTCAATGCCGGCCTGCCTGCTTCTGAATCCCAGCAGCAAGGCAGGCTGACTGTGGCTGGCTATGGTAGGCGCTAGGTTTAGGGGAACTTTGTATTATGAAAATGCATGCAGCGTCTATGCAGCAGTAGAATCAGTAGGTGACACTAGGGGCCCATCTGTTTTATACAGATCTTGATCTCGATCAGTGATCCCAAAACTAGTTCACTCTATCAGTTAGGTGGGTTCAGGTGTCAGTGAACCAATGTGGGATCACTTATCATGATCTGGATCAGTGTGAAAAAAACAGGCCCTGGGCTGTTACTGATGTGAGCTCCCGTGCAAAGAGCACAGCACAGTCATGCACTGGTTTGGGTTTGCATGACACCAACTGGTGTGATTTTGTCTGAATGTGCTCAAACTGATTGCATCTTGACATGAAAAACTCATGAAGGCAAAGCAAAAGTCCATACATGCCAAGTACATATATATATATATAGTGTTGGATCTGTATTTTGCCACCCTTTCCTCTGTTGTAAAAACTGTTCTTCGTCAATTTCTGTATTTAGGTGGATCTGGATTTACCCAAGCCAAGCCAGGTCGGCAAACCCTGGGCGCCTTGCCGAGCACATTCCAGGGACGAGCTGACAATACCCAGAACATCAAAACCACAGGCAGCCGTCAGGTGGAAGGCCAGGCCAGCAAGCCAGCATTGCAGAATGACCCCCTGGAACAGGAACAACACAAAGGCAGGAACCCTTCATTGGCCGAGCAGCAGCAGGGTAAATGAGAAGAAACATGATGTGTTTATACAGTCCAGAGCTATACACGTACAGACATAATGAAAAGTTCCACACTTGGGTTGCAGTTGCTGTTCTTGGAAAGGTATTTAGAAAACTTCATGCTGAAAGGGTCGTAGGGTGGACAGATTCGCTCTCTCTTCAGATCCACTTTGTTAACTTTTCCTCCCACATCATGAGATTTTTTTCCATCCAGCTCAGCTATCACAGGTTTTTCTGCTGATGTCATGTGCATGTTTTGACGCCAGTTTTGTGGGAATCGGGTGCATTCTGGGTTGTTTGAGAGTGGGGGAAGTCAAAGATCTCGGCCATCCTGTGACCATTTTGAAGTGAACTTGCCAAATGAGGTGTCCAGTATGACTGCATCTGTGAGAAGGGCAAAGTTGTAGCACAATAGATTTTTTAATGAAAAAAAAACTTTTGGGCCTGCCCTGTGCTAGGAAAATTGTCATTTTGCGGGAACCTAGAACTGGTGTTTAGATTTTCTAATGAAAAAAAAAACTTTTGGGCCTGCCCTGTGCTAGGAAAATTGTCATTTTGCGGGAACCTAGAACTGGTGTCAAAATGACAGCAAGACATTGGCAGAAATAATCTGAAATGTTCAGGGCCATCAAATACACATGTATGTGTTGAGATGATAATGAGAAAAAATGCACATGGGGGCATTTTTTTTTTCATTATTTTTCCAGGGAATACAGACACAAAGTACAAAACTAAGAGACATACTAGACTTACACAACATTTGCTAACACCCCTAAAGGATAACCTAAAAGCGAACTCAATCACTGTCGAGAGAGTCTCCTAAAATCACATACAAAGATTTACACATACAAAACTCAAAATAATAAAAACCAGCTTGTCAGTATGACAAGGATACATATAATCAACTTTGCTGGTTTTGGCCACTTCAGCTCTTTATGGGGAAAAACTTTGTAGATATACACCGAGCTTTGATATGTTTGTATGCATCCCAAGTCAAAGCATTTCTTTTATAAAAATAGCCTTGTGATACGGAATTTGCCACCAACAAGTACACTTCCTTGAGGAGAATTTCCTGGACATACCTTGTCAATTGTTTAAGTCAAACTTTGCATTAAATGAAATGCTATTGCATTTTACCTCTTGGTCTTGTTTCCTCTAGGAATGGACATCAATTTTGAGCCGGATGCTGGGGCCCTCGCGAGTATCCTCAACAACACTGGGACCAACTTCCAACGCCAGGCACCAGCAGTGAGGCAGACAATTGGCACAGCCACAGGGGCAGGCAGAAACCACGAAAGCATGTATTGTGGCCGGCAGTCTCAGGTGAGGCCACAGGTTAAAAAAAGTCTGTGTGCTTTTTTTTTTAGCAGTCGCTATCTCAAGGAAATTCATGATTTTTAGTACATGTAGTTTATCCTACAAGATTGTCAATTATCTTCAGGGTGGTCAAAAAGTAATTCAGACAATCACTGATTTTTCCAGTTGTGATAGTTTCAGGGCCCAGGTGAAACCTTAGCCTCCGATCAGAAGCTCCACAAAACTAACGTTTTCCAAGCTTTATGAATTGTACAGGTATCTAAATTAATATTGAGGAAGCATACACTGTACATGTATTTTCCTTCCTATGCTGTTGCAGGGCGATGTGTAAATGTTAATTTAACGTCAGATTTGTACTGATGAGCCAGTTGTGCTTGTTACAAGGTCCGGTTGAAAATGTCATTTTCCAGTCAGATGCCCTGCAACATGTACGTGTATTCCGGCCTGACAGTGAACTCTGTGGGGTGTGTCCCATCCCATTCAAGTTGATGTACATGTACATGGATCATATTCCTGTTTCATGCTTGTTGCAGGGCCCCATGAGAACTTCAATCTACTACCAGAGGCCCCGCAACATGAACTTCAACCGGGTGTACACGGACTTTGCCAACCACATCTTGTCACGTTTGAGTCTGGCTGAAAACATGGTACCTTCAAGCAACAGCCAGCCGCTCGAACGGCTGACCAACACAAAAACAACAGGTCTGCACTGTAAAAATTTACGGACCTGTTTTTTCACATGGATCCGGATCATGATCAGTGATCACTCATTGGTTCACTGACACCAGAGCCCACCCAATGGATGAAGCGAACCAGTTTGGTGATCACTGATCGAGATCCAGATCTGTGTGAAACAAACAGGCCCTGAATGAAGCTTTTACCTTTAATTTCAAATTGATAAACTGGCCTTGTGCTTTCTTCTGTAATTCTTAGGGTTTGTGGCATTGGCTTGAGTCAGCTTTTTTTTTCAGAGATTTGTGAATTTTTTTCTTCTCCATTCAACCTGCGCCTTGTTTTGTCCTCTTTAGTTGTCGCTCGGTCCACCTGCAAGGCTGTCAATAAGTCACATGTGATGATGTCAGCACCAAGAAGGATGAGAACTCCCGCAACAGTATGTTGCTTCTGCTTTTTTTTAAATATAAAAGAACCAACTTCCCCCACTGTACATTTCCCCTTTGTGTAGTCGCTCTGCATTTAAGTATCATGCTGAGCTTTTAGAGATATTTCCAATGATGTCTTGAGGTCAGTTTGAAGCACCTTTGAAGAGAATCGAACATACATTGTACCATTCTCGCAAAATTTCCACTTTTTAATGCCACAAGATTTCTTTCAAAGATTAAGATCTGTCAGAATTTATCTGGATTTTGGAATAATTCATTATAAGGAGATGATTGTTGCTTTTGACACCCACTGCAGGCCAGCCGTATCCTGAACCCACGCCACCATGCTGCTCTGAGGGGGCAGGACACGTCTTGTTCCCCGGCCCTCGTGGCACCGCCCTCAGCACTGAAGAAGCCGAATGCCAACAAGGTTTGTCCAAGTATGCATTTTTGTGAAGCAGGGTTCACCCGAAATGTGAGGCGGCCCACCTCATTCAAGCTCTTCAGCTGTTTTGCCCCGTAGACCTTCATCATGATGCTGCCATGTTTGTCTTGTTCCCTGTAGACCCATTGGCACTAGTAATATAACTTCACTTGTTGATAAAAGGGACCAGTTTTTCCTTTCAGCCTCACTTTTGTCACATGACTTTGAATGGTAGAATAAAGCAAGATGGCTACACCATGATAGAGGTCTATGCTGCCATCTCACATTACATGCCAGTAACACTGTTACAGGTGGCAACATTTGCATTTGCTGTGGGCCAGCTCGCCCTCCTCAGCCCCCCTCAAGAATCCCTGCCTTGACATTCAAGGGCAATGTAGGAAAATTGAAGAAAAGAGATAAGAGTTGTGGAAAATTTCACACTCGGTTGCAGCTTTGTCATTTCCACTGAAACTGGACACAGTAAATGTATGCTGTAGCACAGCATAAAGCCAGAACTCTGAAGGCCAAAGTGCTGAATTTTCATCTGTACCCATGTATAAAGTCTCAAAGATTTACAATGTAATGCTGAAGTTTCTTTTTATAAAACAAATTATATAGGGAAACTGACCAGGTGCTTATAAGTGATTATAAAGATGAACTAAGAAATTAACTCGAACAGGATTGGAACCTGTGGCCTCCGGATTACTGTACCGGTGCGCTCCCAACTGAGCTATCCAGCCCTATGTTGGTGGCTCTTCCCATTTGTCAATATCATTTTGGGGGGTGCTAGCCAGAAGCCAGTAAACCTGAAACACCATGTAGCCAGGTATCACACCTCAATAACACAGTACAACCACAATCTTGTATACATGTACATATTTTCCAGCAACCAGAAACAATACTTTGCTGTACAAGAGAAGAAACCACACCCCATCATAATATTAAAAGTGTTCTCATTTTTTTATTCTGTACTGAATGTAAATAAGCTCAACGTGCACTTATTTCCCCTTTGATCCAACCGCATTTTGTTCATGTTGCAGTGAGTAGAACAACTATTACAGATATCTCGAATCAAAGTTTAATCATTCCAGAGTTAATATTGAAGTAAACTTAATTTGGAATTATTACGTGTACTTTCTTTAAATTTTTGGTTGTCACCAATCCAGGAGAGCAGAGCCCTGTCAGTGAAATGGGCAGATATACTCAGCCCCCCAGGTATAAGAACAGCTAGTGTACCTGGCAAGGTAGGTCCTGTTGAAAGTCAGTGTGCTTGCTTTTATATAATGTGAATATGTCTCATTGAAATTCAGTATGCTCACTTCTGTCATGTGAATTGGAGATACAAAGCTCATCTTGCTTGTACTTCTGTAGAAATTAAGGCTCATTGTATTCATAGCCTTGCATATCTGCTGATGTTGATTTACATTCAGGATGAAGTGGCAACTGCGCTTTTTGTGGATGAGGACACTCGGAGTCTGGACCTGTTCAGTGTGAACCAGCCAACCAATAACGAGGGGCAGCAACAGGGAGCCAACATCAAGGGCAAACAAGACCAGATTTTACAACTGCAGCAGCAGGTCGCTGTGCACTGCCAGGAGCTAAAGGTTGGCTGTCTTCCATGTCTCATATCCGTGGATGCTGGCTTGTAAAAAGGTTTAAGGCTTTGTCGTTAGTATTTAGTTGCAGCCAATGACAGCCAAGGCCAACAATTATAATAGCATCAAAGCATTTATAAGGTGCACAGTACATGTATCTCACAGATCTGTAATTCAAAGGCACTAATAAATGTCATCATTCCTGCTCATTGGTCTCACAACATCTGAAACTATTTCACCTCCCTGGGCAGTATACTAGCCTGATACAGCCATATTAGGCGCAAACGTCTGAACATAATTACCACATCTGCCTCACTGATACCCATTCACTTCTGAGTGGAAAGGGGCGCATGGGGGTAAAATGACGTGCCTACGATTACATCATGCTGCCACCAGCTGGATTCGACCCCCTCCCCCACCCTATGATCAGAAGCTACAAACACTAACCTCGAGGCCTAATGCACCCAAGGAGTTCCATTTATGAAATTTGAGGCCAACCTGATTAACAGAAGTAAATACACTGTAAGTCATTCCATATGGTTGGCGCACAATTTGTGATGGTGTCCTTTTTATATCGGTAACTTTTACCACCTGTTATGACCTTTTACTGTGGAAATTAACACACACCTCTGTATTTAGCCTTGCAAGATGTATAACAATGTCAATTTGGAATCCACATGCAGGGAAAAAGCTGTTCATTTTTACGGAACCCATGTAACAATTGACGCCGTCACAAATTGTGCCCCAACCTCATGGAATGACCGAAATACAGTCTAACTTTGTCAATATCACTGTTCATTCCAAATTCTGCATGTACATGTAACAAGCTTTTTACTCCCATTATTTTGTTTTTCATTGTTGTCATTGCTGATAAAACAAAGTATGAGGTTCATGTTATAACAAGGTAATTTGCAAATCCTGGAGGACCTCTTATTAATGAGGTTCGTCTGTATGCTGGTCATGTTAGTTGTCTAATATGCAGCCTTTTTGTTCAAAATGACCCGTTTGTTTGATTGCTCTCAAGCCTTTAGTAGCCTCATTTCCCTCCACACACAACAATGTCTGCCAAGAGCGTGTGGCAAGTGAGAACAATTCTGTGGCCTTTCTGTAGTGGAAATGAGTAAAACAAGCATGATTGAAACTTTTCTTGAAAGAGTTTGCTGTAGCTACATGTATGTGGTCAGAACCTTCATTTTATATATAAATATAATTAGATAAATTTGTTGCAAACTTTAGGCTGTAAATGATAGTCATCTGTGTAGGCTACAGTTGTTTCAAGTCTGGTTGATTCTGGCTGCTCAGCAGTTAAAGAGTTCTTATCCATGAACACACCATCTAAAATTTGTCTTTGTCTCTTGTTTTTTTACTGTGGAAGGAGATGGATGAGATTGAGCAACAGCTTTTGTCAGAGATTCAGAGGCTCCAGCAAGATGACTGCCTTCTTTCACCACCAACAGCAGACCCTGAAGAAAGGAAGGAGCAAGAGGCTCGGCATGATAGGGCAGTTGATTCACCGCCTCTCCCAGTGGTACCTTTACAATGTGACCAACAGTCTCTGCCAGGGAAGGCCCTACTCCAAAGTTCCTCTCAGCCACAGCAGAAACAATTCTTCCAAATGCCAGAGCAAGACTCTGCTCCAACTCTGGGCGTGAGCACAGCTCCTGGGAAAGCCACAGAGAGCCTACAGAAGCCATCAACAAACCACACAGACCAATTTGGAAAGAAACCATTTAATCACAGCCCGGGAAGTCCCTTCAAAAGAAGCCAACTTCCGAGAAATGTTACCTACATGTATGGGCTTTCGCAACCTTCAGCAACGCCAATGAAATTCCACTCTGAATCAAATTGTAAAATGTCCAATGAGAGTACCAGTTGTGATGCTTCTGAACTGTGGCATCAGAGTCTCCACAGGCCTCTTGAAACTTTGAACACTCCTGAGAAACCATTTGTTGAAATGGCTGAATGTGACTCTCCAAGCAAGCCAGAAAACAGGAGCAGAACTCCTGATCTCAGGATGCCTGAGATTAAGATGGAAACACCACAGGAAATGTTGAACAAGAATATGGCAGCAGAAAGAGTAGAATTCAACCATCATGGTTGTTCTGACGATGTTAACCCGCAGCGAACCAAAACAAGTCTCTCCCAAGCTGCCACCACAATGTCCTCTGGACATCTTGGCCAGAATGCAAGTGACGGTCTTCATACCTCGCGGAGACCTTTGGGCGCTGCTTCTCGACCTCAGCTGGCTACAGAAACTGATATTAGCACAGCCAGTCACTTCATTCCTAGTGGAACTGGAGAACCAATCAACAGTTTCTCACAAAAGTTGTCTATAGAGCACCCTTGCAGCAGACAAGAAAGCCTCCCAAACAGGATGTGGAATTCCCAGAAATTAATCGTGCCCTCTGGTTCTTCCCATGACCTCACAAATGGATATCCCCAACCAGATTCCTTTTGTCGCATAGCAACCAGTTCTTCCTTCCATTCAGTACCTACTAACAATCACGAGAGTCCAGTTCTCGCTGTCAACCAAGCCAGTATGGGTCTTCACGAGCATTCGTGTCAGCCAAATACTGACAGATCTGGTAATTCCAAGATGCCACAGGGATCTGTCTTCTCCAGCAGTACGACATCGCTGTTGTCCTCTGGGCAGCCACTCCTTCCAAATGCCAGGGAGTGGAATCCACAGCTCGCTGGTGAAAGAGTGTCTGCCCAGATGTCCTCCACCCCGGCCCACATCTGCACTCCCCAAGCTGTCAAACCCCATTCCATGATCAAGGAGCTGACCCTCAAACAGTTGCTGCCATCCGTGAGTGTCCTGGGCAACCAGCCCGCTCTGTACAGTCAAGATATCCCGCCCATTCACACTCCACTTGCAATGCGAAGCATGTCTGCCTTGAGTAGAAATCCGGACCTTGAGGTTTCTCCTGTGCAGTTTGTGTCTCCGATACCTATGCGACCTGGCCAAGTACCCCCGAGTGCTGAAGGAAAACCAACCTCGTTCAGTCCTGCCCAGCACCAAACAGCTTTGACAAGCGATCTGCCGTCTGTCAGCCTTACAGCCACAGTGTCAGAAACTGAGGCCAGGAATAGCAACCCCCTGCAGCAAGAATCAGGTCTTGACTATTATCCTGCTTCTGCAACCAGAGCAACAAGAGAAACATCCAACTTTGAGGCAGTTGCAGCTGATGACAACCTGTCACAGCAGTATTCAAGCAGAACTGGTAATCCCACTTCTGCGCCCACTTCAACCCAAACAAAAGCCACGTCCATGCCTCTAAAAGAGATAAACTTGCATAATACACTGCATGTTATTGATCAAGTTCTTGAAGCCACTACTGTGGGTGATGCAGGTAATGAGAAACCTAAGCCATACTCACATGGAGAGCCGCAGAGGCCTTGGAGCCATTTAAAGTTCAAAGGTCAAGGGTCATTGTCTCTCGGAGCAGAGCTTATGACAAACAGGGGAGCAGCTGCTTTTTTAAAGAGCAAAATGAAGCCTCTTTTGTCCGGTGAGTAATTTTTAGTTGGATTTGTGAAGTTGAGTGAACCTGTGCATCTTCATTTTATGTAAATGATTTGTTCTATTTCCTTTGACCTGACGTGATACTGTTTCTTTGATACCTTGCGATGCTTTGATCCGAGAGTGTGAGGGTTAATGATGAAGTGTGACTTCAGTGTCTCATTCATTTGGAATTGATTTTTGTAATTCCAAGTATCTGTCTGTGTTCAACTTCTCCATTTGTAATTCCCCCTTTTTGTGATCCTCTCTGTGTGTTTGAATTTCCTGTCATTACAGCAACCACAAACCAGCTTTTCCACGAAGCACTCCTGGACGAGGAGTGTGCCCTCTACGCCTGTCGGCTGCCCAGCAAATTCAACCCCCGGAATGCCCCCGACCGTCTGTGCCTGGACCCTGTCGCCAAGATACTAATGGATGGGGATGACATGGTGAGAATGTTTGTGTGTTTCAGTGGTAAATTATAAGCAGACGAGCCAAGGTTGAACTGAATTTACAATGTGATCAATGATAATGTAAGTAGTTCTGTATGGTAGTCATCACAGTGTGGACCACCATTGGTGGAGGCCACACAAACGACCAGTGGTAGCTTTACCATGATAAAGTCAAGAAAAGTGAGCATGCTCCAGTGTCATTGTTACAACGCTGCTGCTGGATGTGCATGTAATCTGGATTCAAGATGACCCCCGTGGTCAGAGCGCACCCGTCACAAGTCCCTTCACAAGTATAGACACAAGCCCTTTCACAAAGCCAGTAAAAAGTTAAAGATTGAGTTATGACGAAGGAATAGTTTTTGTCAGAGATCACTTGAATAGTGTATGACTTGGTTGAAGACTGAATGAATTGTGATGGACTTTTGATGAACTTGCCGGGACCGGTGATGGATTCGACCTCAACACTTCAAACCCCTACCTCAGACTAAACCCCCAACAACGTGTGAAGAATGAAATTGAACTTAGAAGGTTCAGGAACATTACGGTCAGGCTAAAACCTTCAGGATCTGTACAACAGAAAGCAGAAATGGATTTTTGTAAGCTGGTCAGGGAACGAACACCGACATGTTTGTTTTTCAGGAGGTCTTGGGTTTTCTTAGATTCCGTAGAATTCAGCAAAATATTAACTCTTCTTTTACTCCGAAATGTTCTCTTCAAGTTATACCAAAGAATGAACAGAGCATGAAATAACTTTTATATATCATTTAAAAGTTTTATCTATTAAACTTCTTGGCATTGTCCCCTTCGATGATCCTAATGAATCCCATGTAACAACTTGCCATCCACTTTGCCAACTTCGAGGCAAATTGCTCGTTGGCATGAAAGATGACAACTACACTCTTAATAAGAGAGAACACAATTTCTCTGAATTTATTGAGCCTTCCACATACATGTCACCAGCATTTGACACAAATTAACTAAATTTTGCTACAATGGCCGAGAATATATTATGGCTTATATGTAACTAGTCCTGATTTCATCACTGTTTTCACAAAGAGCCACACATGTCAAAAGTAGCATTTTTTTCAATTTCGATTTCATTCATGTTGTTAGATGTAGGGACAAAAATCTGGATAACTGCATTTTGCTTTTTTTACAAAGAGACACAAGTCTTGCTGCAACTTGTACACGTACAAAATGCATTGACTGAAAAGGACAAAAAGTACATGTAGGTCAACTTAAGAATTTTGTTTTCATGAAGAGCCACACATATTTCTTTCAATGTAACAGTTGTATGCACTTGAAAAAGTACATTGCACAGAAAGGCCACAGTAGGAATACATGGATTTTCGATTCCATGAACGGACACACATCTTTACTACATGTAAATGTAATTGATTTTGGCTAATGAACCTTTGTGTTCAGTTTAAGTCCTTAGTTCAAGCAAAGTTTATCTGTCAAAGAATCAGTTGAGGTTTTTTTACTGCATAAATTTGTTCCATATTGCTATTTCGCAGTTTTGAACTACACGTACACTAGGAGAAGCTTCTCTGGCAATTTCTCGAAAGCCATTTTTTTCTTCAAAATCTACCTGTGTGGCTCTACATGAAAACAGTGACGATATTAGTCATGGGATGGTACCGTAGTGACAAATGGCCCAAAGTTTCGTGGTGTTGCAGTCAAGTCCTTCTGAACTGGTTGGAAGGGAACAAAGCTAAAGAACAATGGATATTCAGTGGTCAGTGCGCAAGGGTAAGATGACAAAATAATTTGAAGACTTCAGACACTCCCAGTTGTGTAAAAGTTAATTATGAAGAAAAGTGATCAAAACATAATTGGCTTGCACTGTCAAAGTACTTGTGGGTGTTGTCCCTTGAACTCGGTTTTTATTAAACAGTGATGGTCTGAAGTCACTTTACATGTATTTTGTAATCATTGCAATGCAGTTCTCGTGTTCGTCAGCTTTGCCCCCCTTAATCCAGTTCAAAATTTGGCTGAGAACTACATACATGTATGTGTACACTGAAGCTTTAACACAGGAAAAAATTCTGTGCTTTATTCCCTCCATAGAGAATTCGCATGGCTGCCATCTTGCAGGCCGTGCTTTTGTTCCACAGGGTATGCACGAAGAAGGCTTCCCCGTGGAACAAAAGAGCTGCCCTGCAAGATGGCTACCATGCAAAGTCTCTATCCATATACTGTGTTCCTTGGCATGTTTCTGGCACACTGGTACTGAAGCTTCATTGCTCTGTCTAAATTGCATGCCCAACCGAGTATCTATTCCACCTACAATGTTACATGTCATGTTTGTTGCCAAGTGGCTCCAGTCACTGTGCTATTTTTGACCTACAAACCACATTATTGTTTAGTTTTGTTTATGAAGACATGGTTCTTTTGGTCGAATTCTCAAATAAGGTTTGTCATTTGTGCAATACTTGTTCCATCTTATTGCTAGCACTTCCTTTGCAATACTGTACATGTACTCTGAGGCTTGAGTGTACAATAGTATACATGTACATGCATTTGCTATGATTGTAGGCTTTTATAGGCAGTGGGCCAAGTCATGTTCAACACACCTGTATGTACACTGTACACCTACCGTCATGGACTTACAAATACATCTAACGGGCATGCATACTAAACCAGAGGCATTCACTGAAGCATGAGATGTGTTTATGCAAGCCTTCTCCACATAATGAACAAATAAGCTTTTATGAACCACTGGTGAGTCAGAGTCAGTTAAAATAATGGAATATTCAACCTCCCTTTCTACAGTATCAAGCATTGGGTTCATGTACTAAAACTCATTAAATCACAAAAAAAATGTATGATTTTTACAAATTGTTCTAAGAAAAATTTGGAGGAGAGGTACATGTACTGGTACTTATTGGGTAGGGGTGTTCTGGTACTTTTAAGCTTACTCATTTCACCTAAAATGTGCCTTTAGAATGCAATTGTACATGCTAATAATTATTTCTGTTGAAATAGTCGATTGATTTTCACCTCATCGTAACCTATTTTGAAAAATAGATTCTCACAAATGTTAGACAACCAACATGTGAATAATCAGCAGAGCCCCCCCCTGCTCCTGCAAATTACCAGACTTTGGAACTTTCATAAAAATATCTGTCATGGAATTGTTGAACCTCCTCATGTTTGAAGTGGTGAATCACTTAACAGTTTAAACTTAACTGGTCAAAGATTTGACCTTTTAAGCTCTTCATTAAGGCCACATCGCTCTTTAAAGCTTCATCATCTATCACCTTATTGGTGTTTCTCTGAATGCTTTTCTTGTTTCTTGCCACAGCACTTTGTGCCCATTCACAGCAGAGGCCAGGTGTACTTTTCATCACCGATTGGCTCAGCGTTCAACACATACATCAGCTCTTCTAACTGAATGAACAGAAAGTGCGGTCAGTATGAAGGCCTTTTGTAACCAGAACTAAGCCCCTACCTCCACCTCCTCCCCACAGAAACAGTTGTTGGTCTTATTACAATGTATTACATGACATGTTTCATTACTCTGGTGGAGGACAGACAAAACAAGCACAGTTGAGCCTCGTTAATAAGAGGTCTTTCTTTTTGTAACAGGACCCTTGTACGTGTATTATCAGGAATGAAAACAATGAAAAACAAAGGATTGGGACCTGAAAATATCCTTGTTATAAACAGAATCTTGTATATTACTGCTGTTATTAACGAGGGTCAACTGTATCGTTCACTTGTTGAAATGATGAAAGAAATGGATGGCCCCTACATTTTCCAGGATCAAAACCACATTCAGCACAAGGAACACTTTGAATTTCATGTCTTCCACGTTACACAAAGGAATTGATAAACATTTTTTTTTGTACATCATGGTAAAATTTTGATTAATTATTGTACTGATGTAAATTTCATATCAATTTGCATGAATGCATAATATTCCTGTGGTGATGGCACTTAGACATCAAACAGGAATCGTCTACTTGATCGTTGAAACATTGCACTGTACATTTTACAGGGCGCCTTGACAAGTAAACCAGGATGACTAGTTGAATTGCTCAGTAAACTCTATTAAAATCTATAATTCAATTGATACATTGACTGCCTCATGTGGCATCGCAAGGCTCTTAAGAAGATCTCCAGATCACCGAGGGATGTTAGTTTTGCTATACACCATGAGGTAATGCAGTCAGTATTTGGCCTACAACACCTCTCCCACAGATTCTGCTTGAATTAAGCAGCAACTGAGTACATTTCATCAAAATACGCATTAAAGGCACGTCTACATGTACATTGTCCTTCTGTTGCTACGTGTATAGTTCTTTTGGCCGTGAAGAGCCAGATAACAGTAGCAACTGCCACATGACTGGCTCTCGGCTGGTCAAGATAATCTGTGGGTTAGGCAGTCAGACGCTCAGAACTTAATTAACACAATAACCATCTCTCTTCCCTATAGCAGGTGCCCAATTTTTCCTTGGCAGAGAGAGATGCATTGTGATAAAGTGACTTGCTCATGGTCACAATGTATAAACTGGTTGCCAAATTATAACCCAGGACCATATGGTCGGGAGCTACATGTACAAACCTTTGATAATCACTCGGAAATATGGGCCTCGTTTTGTGGAAAGATTAAATTTTTGGTCCCATTTTTTTTGTCCTCTGTGCATCAATGAAAATTATTGCTCATTTGGTTACTGAGCGATTCACCTCGAAATGGTGGTTTCCTGTATTTAGGACACTGAGTAGTCTAATAATTGAAATAAGGTTTAGTGCTATTACTTGTAAATCTTAAGCACGTAAACTATAAATAGTTAAGCTGTACATAATCTTAAGCATCTACACTCTTGTGCGTGTATATAATTAAAATATGCCACCACTGACAAAGCAACATACATGTAGTTTTTCTTTGCCTTTTCTGTTTTGTTTTCATTTTAGTGTTACTTTTTTGACTTTGTTTTGTTACTGGTATGTACAAGTATTTTCTTACCCAAAACTAATACAACACGTTTTATTATTCTATACCAACACATACGAAAAATGTCAAACGGCCAGTTGCCAATTATCCTCTGACTTAAGCTTGTGTGTAGTTAAAATGTTAGTTTGCTACGCCTCCTTCAAAGTACATTTTAATCATATCCGAAATTGGTCAGTTTTAAGAAACCATAAAATACACATAAACTGTACATGTATCCACGTTTACAAACACTCGAGTCTGCTGGGGATAATAAGTGTGCAGTCGAACCTCGTTAATAAGAGGCCTCTTGGACTTGGCAAATCACCTTGTTTTAACAGGAACCTTGTATTATCAGGAATGAAAACATTGAAAAAGAAAGGATTGGGACCTAACAATTTCTTTGTCTTAAGCAGAATCTTGTATTAACAGTGCGCTTATTAACGAGGTTGGACTGTGTAAAACTCCAGCACAGTCAGTATGGAGGCTGCGCAAAACAACCGTTAATTTCGAAACATTTTAATTTCAGTGCATAGAGTATGAACATTTACATGTATATATCTGCTCAGACAAAACGTCTCCTCTCATCCGACCAACAAGGGCGGAAAAGGCTGACAGGGAAAATTCCCAACATGGGTGCACGGCGCGCCCGCATCAAAACCCGTTCATTTCTACTGAAATCGGTCGAGCAGCTCAGCTCACCGCGACAGCTGCACGGCATTATTTTCCTGTCCTAGGTCGAAACGTACAACATGCCCCGCCCTTGGAAATAAAGCGCAGGTAATGAACTTTCCATTGGCAATACACAGTGTTTGGTTTGTAATGTTGACTTCCTCAATTCGGCATTTTTCTACACGACGTTTATTCTGGTAGGATGATAGGATCACCCAGTAGGATGCCGTGATGTTAACATTCACGTAAAAGGGAACATTCACAAGATAAATGAGAGCAGCTGGCCTTTTGCGAGTTCAATTTGAATAAAATCTGGTACACTGGCTATCTTATTGCACATTAACATAAATGGAATTCCCCAGACTAAAGACACTGTTGCTCTACCTCGTGATTTGGGGCAAGCTTTTGCATAGCGACCACCATCTCTGGATTGGACTGGTTCCTTTTTGCCCTCCCCACCCATTGAAAACAGTGTATTGATGCAATGTGTCTCTTGTGTAACTAAGCAAAAGCTTGCCCCGAATCATGAGGTATGGCAACAGGAGAATGTAAAGAACTCAGTGTACCAGATTTATTCAGATGTTACCAGCAAATGCTTATTAATTTACACCACAATAGGGGCCTACGACTGAGTTTATGAACACATTAAAGCTCATTACTCTTACCAAATACATAACAGTTAATCTATGGCTTACCATGTACATCACTGCTGGATGCAATGCACGGCTGTTGTACAATTAATTATAATCTATGCATAATTTATTATAACGAGAAAATGCGAACATTTTTTGTAATTGTGATTCAACACCGTCTATTTACAAAATCGGTTATTTTTGATCACATCAATTAATAAATCAATCAATCAGGCAGTCGATCAGTCTATCAAATCTATCCATCTCTAGGCTATCAATCGCCAAAGAAGCCAGGACACTCGCGATACTCCAGTGATACCGCTTCAGTGAGGCATATCGGGACCCGTAATGCCATTAATCGGCACACGATGGTCATTGAAGCCATCGGGGGCATCTTACCCTGTAGAGTACGAAAGTAATACACATACAAAGGCTTGCTCACCATAGTTAATGGAATCCATGCTTCCGCGTCCTCGCCCATTTGCATCAAACAATCTTCCCCTTTTTGTTAATTTTCCATAACCTTCCGCCCCGAATACCGTATTCGGGGTGCAACGTGCGCCTTAAGGGAAGACTGTGACTACGTGAGCGCGAACTTCCCATATATTGGGGCCACGTGCGTACTCGTAAATTACGCTCTATCATGTCTATATGCACGATATTTTACTCGCACTTTACTGGCAAATGTGTGCATATTTTGTGAATCTTTTATGTATTCATTGTTAATGTTTTAATAGTTGTAAAATATTGTATTCTGTTGGTGCGAGTAATGGGGTAATGTAGTCCTTTGTCTACGAACAGGCACGTTGTAAATAAACCAAAATAAGAAAATGTCTGTTTAGGCCTAGGTCAAGATGAAAATGTCCATGTCCTATAAGAAATACGGGCTCTGACCTAGACAGCTGTCAACCAAGCTTCTCTCTCATGGTCGCCCTCGAGAGTGCACTTTAGCATAACGTCAGTTTTGCAGTGTCATTCTGCTACGAGGGTCAAACATCGTCTTCACAGTCATTTTTGTTTGCGCACGCGGCCTTCCCAAGGTAAGCATGGTAAGAGATAACCTGGTTTCACCCTTTTACTTACAGAAACTCCAAAGTTACAAAACAAAGGGTGCCAGTGCTAGCTACTTTTTCCTAAAGAACTTCAGTAAAAGGTCCTCTGCTGTATAGAATGAGTAGATTAGTGTGTGATGTTTGTCTGCTTTAAATCTGACACTACATGTATATTTGTAATTGCATATGTCTTTTGGTTGTCGCCAGCATTTAAGTGGCCCCCATAACCTCACACGCTATTCTACGTTGTAGCCAGAACATTTGATTGCGGCCTGAAGTTGTCAGAACCGATATTCCTGCAGGTGATGGAACCAAGTCTACGTACTCTAAGTAACCTTCACTTGAGCTCTTGTACAATATTTTGTAAGCGCAAAAAAGAGATCTTTGTAGTCATACATGTGTAGTATACTTGAGCATATTGATATTTATATTGATAAGCTGATATTTCTTACCAGTAGTCGCGCCTCTCGGGGGCCCAAGCCCAGCCCCACCCCCACCCGTGGTTGCGTCAGCGTCACCGAGGATCTCATACTCCTCGTGCAATTACAATGAATAATTGAACAACATATAGTTTGAGAATTGACTCCCAGGTTTATTGTGATTATATCCCATGCTAATATCTGCCTGTTTACTGTCCACTCTACTGCTGTGCTCTTTTGTATAGATTTGCTATATAGGGCAGAGCCTGTTATTAAACAGGCCACATACAATAAGCTAGATCGTTATTTCAAAAAGTCAATGCCATCCCAGAACAAAGCGCACCGGCGCAAATTGATTCCGTGGGTCATAACGCGCCGTACCTCTGGTACGATTGGCTTGCGGCGTTTCTCCGTTCTTCAACTGAGCGTGAATTCAGCTTTCTCAGAAGCAAAGTTTCCTTTAAACTTTTCTTAATCAAGCGCCTCGCAGATCACAATTTACTCTTGTAGATTTGAAAACGTTCTTGTGTTCCACGTGTTTCAGTTTTTATATTTCTTTTTATATCTTCTTCAGATATCTTGGGGGAAGACCATGTGCGTGCGTATACATGTTCTCGAATAACCCACGAAGGCTTCGTTTTGTGCCTGAAGTAATAGCTGACTGTAGCTACGTCCAGCGTAAGCGTTTTCCCGCATACATATAATGTGCAATGTGCGAATCCGTAACTGTTACCCTGCACGTATATATAGTTAGTTTTCAGCTGTCGGTGGCTTGTTGGTGTCTGCCCTGAGCAGAAGCATCGACTGAAAAGAGCAGCGTTGGTAGGGAGTGTTCATTTTGGTGGTAGCGATGCGACTGCAGCGCTTGCGTTTCAAAGTCGTTTGTGAACCAGCGATGTGCAGTTACTGCGTAATGAGCTTCTGCTGCTGGGAAATTTGCGCTTTCTCTTGGTTCAGCTGGGGTCCATACAGTGCGAAGGACCGGCCTTTTACTAGAACTTGTATTCACTGATAAATAGTACTGTTCTACACCATCTGGGACTTCAACCCAGCTAGTTGGGAAAAATAGACTTTAAGGACTCCATACCTGCATTATTTTAATAATTGCGAGCGCGTGCTCAAAAGAACTAACGGAAGTCTGCTCCTGTATATAACAAAAATTCGATTGAATGAGTAACATAGTTTTCACTTTAGTGAATTACAGTCGAACCTTGTTGATGACAAGTCCTTCTGACTCCGCAGAGTGACTGGTTATCACAGGAATTTTGTATTATCAGGAAAGAAAAATGGAAAATTAAGAATTGGGACCTAACATATACTTGTTATCAGAGGAAGTTGAATTCACAGTGCTATCAACGAGGTTCGACTGCGCACAGTTCTACAGTGGCTCTGTAACTCCATCTTTCTCCTTGTTGGCATACTGAACAGCAATATTCCAAGACACAGCCTTCATGCCACTCATTGTGACATCGCGAGACGACACCGAGTAGCTGGTAGTCTGGCTACAAAAATCTGAGTCTGTGGTAACACTGTATTGGGACCCCGCAGCATGCATCACCACTTTGGAGAGGT